TGCACCCATTTGTCCCTGACTACCCCCCAGGGAGTGTGCCCACTAGGAAGGTGCAGGCTATCTGGAAAAGGCATGTGCACTAGATCCTATCTCTCTATCCCCTGTGTCTGTGTGAAATCCACAGGGACTTCAGCTGTGGAATATCTGGGCTTTGCCTTTTTGTGTAGTGATCCTAATGGAGCTTTACTTGCTTTGGATTCTTTCCCTAAGGAGACTCTTTTGGTTGCAGGGCAGGCAGCGGGAAGGAGATCTGTGCCATACACAGTATGTTTCTGGTGCTCAGGCAGACCTCTGCTGTGTGGGCCTTGGTCTCTACTGCTCCTGTACAAGTCTCCTCCCTGTTGTCTTATTTTGCATTCACCTTGGTCTTCCTCCTGGCTTACAGCAACAAGGTCATAGATGGCATTAACCATTCCTCCTCCAGCAGATGTTTGTGAGTACCCCTTGTGGGCAATCCCTTACTATCATGCTAAGTATGGCAGATCATAAAGGCAGGGTCACTGATCCTTTGGGCATTGTCAACTTATGGTCCACTAACAGTGACAGGGGAGGGCTTGTGGTGTAACTCCTAGGAAACCTAAAACTGATAGCCTGGACCACTGTTCCCTGTCTGAGTCACAACACTCCTTAGAGTCTTCCATAACTCCTTCAGGAGTTACTTCCTGATCTGTCTTGACTATGGAGGAATTCTTTGCTGCTATGTCTGAGTTTATGGGGAAAATTTCAGCCATATTAGTTGACTTAGAATGCAGGCACCACAAGTGTGCTTCCACGTTCTCTCCTCCAGGGTCCATCACTGATTTCCCTTGGGCTATAGCTGCTTCTGCAGTCAGCTAAAAATGAAGAGGATTGTATCCTATTCAAATTTATACTGGGGAATCTCAATTTGCAGACATAACTCCACAACGTAAGTGTAAATGAATTCAATGCAAAAAATTAAACATACAATTGCATACTATCATAAGTAGTCACCTAAATATCGTTAATTAGCAATGTGGGATTTTACAGTATGTATATACCAAAATTCTACTTACTTTCTTTTTGAGGGTGGCGATGCTGGCTCTAGATGGTCCCAGTATACAAGATGTGACAATTTAATTCTTGGAATGCCCGGGCTATAGCACTCTGGTGATGAGTCACTTATCAATTCACACTCAAGCATGTTCTGACATGTTCTAACTTGCATTCGCAGACTTGTTGACTCAGTCTTTATAGAGTAGTAGAAGAAATAACGTGTATGCGTTGCGCTGTTGGTGGAAAATGAGTGTCAGGAATCTGGAGTAGCATATTAACATCAAAGTTTCCATGAAAATTGGCAAACGTGTGAGTTAAACTTTAGCTCTGTTACAACAGACTTATGATGAACATTCTATTAAGAAATCAAGTGTTTTTGAATGGCAAAGGCAGTTTAAGGAGGGGCAGGAAGATGTCTATGATGACACAAGAAGTGGGCAGCCAAACAGTCAAAGGATGGATGCAAATGTGGACAGAGTGCGAACCCTCATCTGGTCAGATTGAAACTTGCATATGCAAATTATGTTAGAAGAATTGAATATGAACAGGGAAACAGTGCGGCGGATTCTAACTGAGGATTTGGTAATGAGAAAGACTTCTGCAAAGATGGTGCCTTGAATCTTGACAGAAGATCAGAAAGAATGTCACCTTCAAATTTCTTCCAATCTTTTGAAAACTTCAGAGGTGTTTGATAGGTTATTACCAGTCCATTCGTAGTTAAATGAGAGAGGGATAAGGAAGGGATATACCTAAGTTTGTTGGAGGAAAGACTACTATTGATAATGTATAAACAGCTGTATAAGTGTCACGTACCTAGTTGGGGACCCTGATGTGGAGAGAGGGCGTCCTCTTCCAACCCCCACTTGGAGCCCCTGAAAGTGGGAACAGAGGCGCAGAACCAGGAGTGGCAGGAATGCCGTGTAGATCCTGAAACTGTCGGCAGGTAGCTGGGGACCCAGGAGATCCAGACACAAGCCAAGTACAGGTGCAGGAACAGAGGTGCAGCAGCAGGCAGGTGTGGCGGCAGTCAGGATGCGGACTTGGGACCGAGCACTGGTGCGTGGATGCGGTGGCTGACAGGTATGGCAGTGATCTGGATGCAGGCCAGATGCAGAGCCGTGGGTGCAGCGGCAGGTGAGAATGGTAGCCAACAAGATGCAGGTCAGGTGCAGGTGCTGGCAGGGTAATATAGCAGAGTCAGACAAGCTGGGTCAGTATCAAGCAGGCAGATAAAGTACAAAAGGAGCAGGCAAGCGAATGGTCAGGGATAGCCGGGGTCAGTGAAGGCAGAGTTCTTTCTTAGTCAGGTAATGCAGAATACAGGTATCAGGAATATATGCAGGAACGTTGTAAACCACAAGGCAGTGATTTTACTATTAAGAAGGTTTAAATAGCCCGCCTGACGTGACGTGTGCACTTACTGCGCATGTGCAAGTTTTCCGCGCTACTGCGCATGCGCGGGCCGCACGCGCTCCCGCACCTGCGCACTCGCACCACCACTACTCAAGGGGATCCGTCGCCGTCGCACCGCTAAATGGCGACAGGATCCCTGACAATAAGGTTGTTGTGTTGATATTTATAACCACTGTTTGAAGGAATCAAATGTCTCCATAAAATGGAGCTTATTTCAAGCTCTTCATTTAGGCCACTGGGGGATAATACGTCCAAGGTGTACATCCAAAAAGTTTCCAAAAAGTTAAGAGATGCAAAAAGCGCTTTGCCAGAGGAGGTCCCATGGCATTCCTTCAATGATCTACACACTAAGACCGTCAGTGGATTTACCGTGGCATTCAAGGAAATGTCAACCGCCATGGTATTGGCAAGGGATAGTTTATGCTGAGATTCAAGTTTTGCTATGTTTGCGGAAATGTCCGCAATTCTCCTAGACTGCTTCCTTTTCTGTCTGGCACCCCATTTAATAAACACTCCATGAACAACACATTTGTGTGCCTCCCACATGCTAATAGGAGAAGTTTCCATATTCTTATTGATATCAAAATATTGTTTAAGCGTATTGGTGATATCGGTCAGGATTTTAACATCAGTCAACAGAGCCGGGTTATGTCTCCAGTTATACTTCTTAGCTGTCTTACCCGGGAGAGTCAAACTCAGCGATAGTGGGGCATGATCTGAGAAAGATTGTATCCCGATCTTAGCGTCAGTCTGCAGAGGGAGGTAATCAATCCTGGCATATCGGTTGTGTGGTGGGGAATAGCACATGTAATCACAGTCATGGGGGGTTAAGTGATCTCCAAGCATCAATCAGTAATAAAGATCTCAAAAGTAGCTTAACCTTTTTAAGATTTTTATATGCGATACAGGTTGTCCCAACCCTTTCAAAAGCAGGGTTAAGTGGGATATTAAAATCTCCCCCTAGGATCAGACAGCCAGCTGCAAACCCTTTGAGTTCATCCATGATATGTTGACAGAAGGAGATGTGAGCTGTTGGGGAAGTAGACATTGGCCAAAGTGATCGGAGTACCTGCCCATCAGCCTTTTAAGTAGACGTATCTAACCTCCGGGTCAATTGATTGTTCTGTGATCAAATTTTTTGCCTCCCTACTGATCAAAATGGTGACCCCCCTTGGCTTGTCTTGGCTAAAGCATTAGTGGAATGGTATGCTTTCATAAGTATTTGCTTGACAATGTTGGAATCTGTCCAGTTTTGAAATGCATTTCTTGCAGGAACACTATAGAAGGCCTGGTTTATCTAGCTCGCGTAACAATTGGGAACGCTTCTCAGGAACATTTAAGCCCCTAACATTATGGAATATGATCAGGGGCTTTTCCCCCAGATTGGAGTAAGTCATGCTGGTGAAATAAGAAGAGTGTAAGAAGAAGAAGTTTTTAGAAAAACGAAAAATCGGTTGTTCAATCAGCCGACGTTACCACCATTGGTAAAAAAAAAGTCGGCTGATTTTCATCCCGTCTACGACCGGCAATTATATAGAATATGCAGAAGAAGAAATAGAATATGCAGAAGAAGAAGAAATAGAATATGAATAAAAAGAAGAAATAGAATATGAAGAAGAAGAAGAAATAGAATATGAATAATAATAAGAAAAAGTTGCAACATTGTATCTATTTGTATCCATTTCGGATACAGATGTTTCTATTCGGATACAAATAGATACAACTTTGCTATACTTTTAAATGTTTTTCTTCTTCTTCTTCATATTCTATTTCTTCTTTTCCTGCTTCTTCTTCATATTCTATTTCTTCTTTTTCTGCTTCTTCTTCATATTCTATTTCTTCTTTTTCTTCTTCTCCTTCATATTCTATTTCTTCTTATTTTTCATCTTCTTCATATTCTATTTCTTATTCATATTCTGTTTCTTCTATTTCTTCTTCTTCTTATTCTATTTCTTCTCATTCATATTCTCTTTTTTTCCTTTTCTTCTTTTCCTTCTTCTTTTTCATGTCACTGCTCATGCACACTTTTTTAAAATCGGGAAAAAAAAAAAAAAATGGCAGATTTGTCCATCGTTGCCGTGAAAATCGGCAGAATGACAAATTTGGCTGATTATATTCCAGCAGGGCTGATAATCCAAAAGGTCAAAAACCAAAAAAAACGGCCAAACGATTACTGCACTAACGATCCGAATTTTTTTTTCAGCCGTTTTTCATCCCATCTAAGTTAAAGCTTACCATAAGAACGGCAAAAGTAATAATAAACAAATAGTAAATACATATAGGGAAATCTGAACTCAAAGCCAACAACACATATATTAAATTCAGGATTCAGGTAACTGCAGGGACAGTATCATAGAGATTAGATAGGATCCAGAGATCATTTGTAATTATAGAAAATATATCTTACATAAGTGCAACAATGTCAAACAAGATGCCAATAGATACATAACCGTTAGGCCATGTGAGCTCTGAGAGCCAACAATAAGGAACATTCTGGCGGTCAGGCTGTAAGCAGAATTACCATATTTTTTGCTCCATAAGATACACCTGACCATAAGACGCACCTAGGTTTTAGAGGCAGAAAACAAGATAAAAAATATTCTGAACCAATGGACTGCAGACATAGTACAGGAGATGACCAGAGACTGCAGACATAGCACAGGAGATGACCAGAGACTGCAGACATAGTACAAGAGATGACCAGAGACTGCAGACATAGTACAGGAGATGACCAGAGACTGCAGACATAGTACAGGAGATGACCAGAGACTGCAGACATAGTACAGGAGATGACCAGAGACTATGGACACAGTACAGGAGATGACCAGAGACTGCTGACACAGTACAGGAGATGACCAGAGACTGCAGACATAGTACAGGAGATGAGCAGAGACTGTGGACATACTACAGGAGATGACCAGAGACTGCAGACATAGAAGAAGAGATAACCAGAGACTACAGACACCGTACAGGAGATGACCAGAGACTGCGGACACAGTACAGGAGATGACCAGAGACTGCGGACACAGTACAGGAGATGACTAGAGACAGAGGACCATACAGGAGATGACCAGAGACTGCGGACAGTACAGGGGATGACCAGAGACTGCGGACAGTATAGGGGATGACCAAGACACTGCGGACAGTATAGGGGATGACCAAGACCCTGCGGACATAGTACAGGGGAAGACCAGAGACTTCGGACAGTACAAGAGATGACCAGAGACTGCGGACAGTGCAGGGGATGACCAGAGACTGCGGACAGTACAGGGGATGACCAGAGACTGCGGACAGTGCAGGGATGACCAGAGACTGCGGACAGTGCAGGGGATGACCAGAGACTGCGGACAGTGCAGGGATGACCAAGAGACTGCGGACAGTGCAGGTGATGACCAAGAGACTGCGGACAGTGCAGGGGATGACCAGAGACTGCGGACATAGTACAGGGGATGACCAGAGACAGCGGACAGTGCAGGGGATGACCAGAGACTGCAGACAGTGCAGGGGATGACCAAGAGACTGTGGACATAGTACAGGGGTTAACCAGAGACTGCGGACAGTGCAGGGGATGACCAGAGACTGCGGACAGTGCAGGAGATGACCAGAGACTGCGGACAGTGCAGGGGATGACCAGAGACTGCGGACAGTGCAGGGGATGACCAAGAGACTGCGGACAGTGCAGGGGATGACAAGAGACTGCGGACAGTGCAGGGGATGACAAGAGACTGCGGACAGTGCAGGGGATGACCAGAGACTGCGGACAGTGCAGGGGATGACCAGAGACTGCGGACAGTGCAGGGGATGACCAGAGACTGCGGACAGTGCAGGGGATGACCAGAGACTGCGGACAGTGCAGGGGATGACCAGAGACTGCGGACAGTGCAGGGGATGACCAGAGACTGCGGACAGTGCAGGGGATGACCAGAGACTGCAGACAGTACAGGAGATGACCAGAGATTGCAGACAGTACAGGAGATGACTGCTGACCTTTGGGGAGGGAGGGGGAGCAGGTACCTGAATTTGACAGGTACCCGCTCCCACTTCCGCGGAGTTGTCCTCCCTTTAGTGTGGGCACCCGCCTGACAGCCGGGTGCCCAGTGCGCATGCATGAGAAGCACTGCGCTTTGTGATTGGTCCGCCGTTTTCTGGGACCTGTCATGTGTCCCAGAAGACGCCGTACCATTCACAAAGCGCAGCGCTACTCGCGCATGCACACTGGGCACCCGGCTGTCAAGCCGGGAGCCCACACTAAAGAAGCCGGCGCGGGAAGACTGCGCAGCAATGGACCGAGGAACAGGTAAGGTCCTGCTGCAGAGCTGAGCGGCCGGCCCGGTATTCTGACACGGCGGCGGTGGAAATACCGGACCGGCCGCTCCATATTCACTCCATAAGACGCACCGACATTTTCCCCCCTTTTTTGAGGGGAAAAAAGTGCGTCTTATGGAGCGAAAAATACGGTAAATAGTATCACCTGGCTAATTAAGCACATGACCATCAATTTGGCAAACTATATCAAACAGAAATACAAGAGCAACAATAAACACACAGTAAGGGAAGCGAGCCCACGGTGGTTAGCCGCAGGCAAAACCTCCATCAACATGTGAGCAACCAATGCTCCCTCCATCCAGAAATAACCATGGACTGAAAGGAGCAATAAGGACTGTAATAGAGGGGAGAAAAAAGACAGAACCGACTGATCACAGTCAGGTATCATTTAAATCCTCTTTCGCTCTGAACTGCTTAGATTTCAGTGAGGACAAGCTTGAACCCGGACTGGCCTGCTTCTGGTGCCTGGCTTTCCTATACTGTGATTTAGAAGGGGTTTGCAGAGGTGTAGATTCGATGACAAACACTACTGATGGAAGTCGAAATTCCTCATACCATTCCAATAGTTCCACGTACAGAAGGTGGTCATCACAGAAACCCCGGACATCTGCAGGCAGTCTCAACAGATATTGTTTGCCATTCTGGGTAGCTTGCAAGGCAAAAGGAAACCACCATCTATAAATAATCCCCTTCTCCTGCATGACGGCCAGTAGAGGGCGTAGTGCTCTTCTATTTTTCTAAGTAATAGTGGAAAGATCCTGAAAGATTGCAAGTTTATCACTGTTAAAAGTAATGAGATCATTTTGTCTGGCTTTTTGGAGGATTTCTTCCTTCAATAGGAAATTGGCAATACAGTAAATAATGTCCCTGGGGGGAGGATCTTTCTGCCCCCCTTGGCCTAAGGGCTCTGTGTGGTCTCTCAAAATCAATGACAGTGTCCGCAGGTCTTTCTAAAAGATTGTTAAAGATAGATTGTAATGCCGACAGAAGTTGTTCAGCAGACACAGATTCAGGGACGCCACTCACTCTGATGTTATTCCATCTCCCTCTTATCTAAATCTTCAAGGTGGCAATTCACATTATTCAATTGTATGGCATGTGTTTCAGAAACTTCTCCAGCCTAGATATTGCCCTGTCCCTGTAAGCACCAGCCTTCTGAAATGTTGTCAATTGCTCAGAGATAGATAGGAGATCTTCCTTTAAAACAGTAATTGCAGATGTAAACGATCTCTTAAGATCTGCAGTGATCTGTGTCATCTCAGAGTATGTGAGTGGTGGATAGGAGCAATTGTCCTCTCTTACCAAATCCTCAGAAGCTGAGAGGGACTCCTCACTGTGATCATCCTCATGCTGTAAAGGCACCATCTTACCCCCCAACAGGGCCACTCCGCTGTGTGCCTCTATTGTGGAAAAGATCCTGGATCTGGCGTGCTGAGGACCCGGATTGTGAACGATGTGGACGATTGTGTGAAGTGGGTTTAACAATCCTGCCCATGATTGCCCTGCTGTGTATCACTTAAGTGGCTGTAGAGCTGATCTCTCCCTGGAGTTCTAGCAGTGTGCTACCATGCAACTCAAACGCCAAGCCATGCCCCCCCAAAATGTTATATATTTTCTGAAAGCAGACACTCTAAAGAGCAAAATAGTGATAGTTCCAAATTTTTATATCACACCATATTACTGCAAAGATCTAGGAAATACAACATTTCTGTAAAAACTACACTAAGGTTAATTTTAGGACATCAAACACAATAAATTACCCATTTTTTTGGTAAAATATAAAAGATGAGATTGCGGCAAATAAATAGATAGCCAATAAATAAATATGCCAAACCTTAAATTTACGTGTGACCGTTTAAATGGTAATAAACTTCAATACCCTATATTTTCCATAGACAACGGTTTAAAAGCCCCCTATAGGTTATCACTTTAGCGTTATGGAGGAGGTCTGGTGCTAGAAATATTGTTATCATGCACACGGCGATATGTATTGTGTAATGTAATCAACGTTTTCATTTGTAGGTGCCACTGATGCATGCGTTTACATTCTTACATTTTTTGGGGTAGGGGAGTTATGTGCTGGGGTGTTTATTTTCTTACAATTTAAAAACATTTTTTACTTAACTTTTTTTTTCATCACATAGGTCACAAAAAGTCCCCTATGTGATGATTTTTTTGGTGACAGGTTCTCCTTAATGAGACATTCAGGGTCTAAAAGACCCTGCATGTCTTCCCTGTGTTCCACTAAATATAATGCAGTACAGATCGCACTGGAAGTGGCGTTTTACAACTCGTTTCTGGGTCATCAACAAGGCGGAGAGAAGTGCAGATATATGTCCGCTCAGCTCCCTCCCCCCTGCCCAGCGACATCCGCCATGCCGGTCCCGGGTTCGCAGATGGGCAATCAGAGCCTGGAATACATGGTGAGGAACGTACAGACCTGGCAGCAAAAGGGTTAAATAATCTGTAACCAACAACACATCATTATTAATATTATTCATTAGCAATATTATTAAAGTGTATGTAAAGTTTTCTTTGGTGTTGAATAGAGTAGAAAAGTGTTAGAACCCCTGTCAGTTTATTTTTGTTACTTGTTGGAGATACTTACCATAAATTAGAGCCGATCTCTATAAAATTAAGTGACACTTGTCACTAGTACAGGTGCCCCCACTGAAAGATTAACGCTTTCCTCATTGATCAGGTGATAACCTAATTTTGGATTGCCAGTCACTCTCTGTCCCAGTGAAAAACAGAAGGTGAAACTATCCATCACAGTCACAGATAGCAATAGTCTGACAGGTATCCTAATCTACCTTCCAAAATAAAAAATTTTTTTTGGCTAAACATCCACTTTATTAATGGTCTGTAGTCCATAACACCATTCTTAGGGGTTTCTGAAGCTTACAATGATCTAATGCCTTAAACTGGATATAGAAATCTATATATGCTTGCAATATTTTTGGAATGTGTATGGAAAATTGAGAACCACGAGGAGACCAATATAAATACCAAGAAAATACTCAAGATCCATATAAAATGGTGTCCTTGTGAGTTACAAACACAAAAAAAATACATGTTGACAGGGATATAAAGCTGCACTCTCAGGGGTATGTATACTTGAATTTATCTATCTCTCCATCTAAAAATATGAATTGCCTGGCTCTCAGTCCATGAGCTTTAATATTTTCTGAGGCTCTGCCCTGGAAAATGTGTGTAAATCAGGGCCTTGCTCTTACTTTCATGCTTGTCAGTGGCTCAATTATTTTTTTCAGCACAGTATTTCTTTTGTGTTTTGATTAACAATATGCTTGAGGTGATTGTAGCCGTATTAGTGCATTTGCGACAGAAACAATTGAGTACTGTCCGTGATACTTTTTTTATTTGCACTAACATACAATTTTGAGGACAAGCTTTCGGGGAATGTCCCCTTCTTCAAGGTCCTAGCAGTTTCTGATTAACAATATGAAATTTACGATAAGCAAATAATTTACAGCCTATAAATCCTGGTTCACACCGCATGCGGCTTTGAAATCGTGCTACTTCAGCGTTAGTGTGACTTCATGTGCGGCTTGCCAACATCTGTACAACTTCATGCACACATGTCAATGCAAGTTGCACATAAAAATCATAAAAAATAGTGCAGGAACCTTTTTCAAAGGTTCGACTGATTTGAACGGTTCCATATCTGCTAATAGGGTGCGTCTTGTCATGCAACTTTGATTTGTCAAGTCGCATAACAAGTCGCACTGGTGTGAACCAGTTTTTTTTTAAATCAGATTTTATTTAATAAACATTGTGTACATTAACACCATTGAGACAAACAGGATGGAAGACAAAGCCGAGAAAAGAAAATATCAATAATACATAATATTTAAACCAGAGTAAAAAGAAAACATGCCCCCACACAAAAAAAAACCCTAAAATATAACAGGACCTAAGAAAATGAAAACATATATTCCATCCATTGGGACCATATAACATTACATTTATGCATAGAATTTGTCAAACAATAAGTATGCTTTTCATAAGAAATATATCTTTTTAGATACGTTTAAATAAGAAATTTGACAAGTTAAAGCTGGCCATATACGGTTAGATTTTTAAATGATTGTCTGTGAAAGATTGTTCAA